GGCACTGGTCCCTGTCCCCAGCACCCTGGTCCCTGTGTCAGCTGCTCAGTGCAGAGGAACCTTCCCACAGACAAACGTGAACCAGGGTCCAAACCAGATTCATTCCACTCGAGAGCGATGCAGCAGCTGCCCAAGTGGAGGGACTTGGTCCTTCTGCCCCAGCTGCCTTCGTAACGTCCTGCCCTGGGCACGGCGCCTCCGCTCGTCCCCTTGAGCCACCCAAGGCAGGAGCTCCTGTGGCGAACTCTACGCCCAGGTAAAGGCCACGTCTGCGACGAGCAAATTGGGCCAAGCTGAGCACTTACACGCTCAAACCTGCAGCAACTCGGACAGTCTCTGCCTACCCCACACAGCTCTAAAGCTACGCAGCAGCCCAGAGACGAGACCTCAGGGAAGCTGAGACAGTCGCCACACGGGCCCCAAGAGACACCAGCACTCGGGATGCTCCTGGTGACAGCTCCAAGCTCGAGACTTGTCCCAGCACTCTGCTCCTGTCCAAGCAGTTGCCGTTTCCTCACCCAGAGTTGAGTTTCTCCACTGCCAGAAGCCAGGGAACCACCAGCACCCAATTCTGCCGTCCCTTCAGAAACACGAGTACTGAAACACCAACATTTCAGCCCTGAGAACCACCAGCCAAAGAGCAACCAACCAACAAATGAAGCTAAGAAAAAGCTGAGCAGCCAGAGACAAAACCAGTTGAACTTTTATTACATTTCATTTACAAATAATGCAAAGATACAAAGACAAAAGCCTTCACACAAAAAAAAGGAAAGATTGAAAAGAATGTACATTTAGTTGAGCTGCTTTTTCACATCATGTCTCAGATTGCAAACACTTAAAGCCAACTTCAGCTTCCACTTCACCTAGAGAAAAACACAATAAATAGAACTTCCCTGTCGCAGGGACAACTGTTGCAGCGTTCCTGTGCCACCGAGGCTGTAGCTGAGGATTGCATATATCAGTGAGAGAACCCACAACTTCTCAGAATAGAAAAGGTTCAGCTTGTAAAGAACAACAACTTGTCCTGTCTCTGAAAACGCATAAACCGCTTCTGCCAAGCTCCACGAACTGCACAAGGTTGGGTTTAGCTGCCAGTCTGTGAGAGGAGCTGCCAGAGCAGCTCTGTGGGGCTTTAGTCACATCGAACTCGCCCTCTGTGAGCACGGACACGTTTAACTCCCACTGCTCCAGGGAATCCTTCCACAGACGCGGCTCCGGCACAGGCGGGAGCATCTAGAAGGTCTAATCCCTCCCCAGAATTAAAGCTCAAGGTCTCCTCTCTCAGGTAACAGCCGACTGAAACACCCCGTTCGCATCACTGCGCCGGATGGTGCTGGCCCCACACCCGTCGCTACCTTTGTTCACTCAGTTCTCTTCCGACTGTGCCGATGCTCATGCCAGGAATAGTCGGGAATGTTCGGGATGCAGTGAGGAGAGGAGGGCTGGTTTAAGCAACCCCATAAATATCACCATCTAACTTTCATATTCGTCTACTCTGCGAGGCCAGAAGCTTCACCCGTGAGTCTTCTCTACATTTAATGTCTCAGAAATCCCGAATTGAGCCAAGCTTAATCCTTCCCTGTCAAACGGGGCCACTTGGGCACTGCTCACTCTTCCCAACAAAGAGCAGACAGATTTTGTGGCATTATAAAGATCGCCCTTTGTACGATGGAATTGAACTCAGCTGCTGCAAGTTGAAGCCTGTAAAATTCCAGAAGGGAATACAGACAGTGCCACTACTCCTACTGCAGAAACACAGCCTCAGAGGAGACGTACAAACAGGGACCTTTCATCCCTTCTCTTCTAGACCATGGTAGGAAACAGTTGGACTGACCAACCCCTCGGAGCGGTACGAACACCCCGGAGCAGACACGGGAGAGCCACAGCCTGGAGCTGCCCCCGCTCCCCGGGACACCCCTTTGGAGGTTGCTCTTTAATGGATCCAGCTCCGACCATCACCGTGTCCAAGCCCTGCCCGGCGCACACGGAGTTCATCCAGGCCTCACAAACACAAACCTCCTCCCGTCAGCTGAACCTCACCCAGCGCTCCCCTTCACCTCAGTCACGAGGGAAAAGCTCCTATTCCACATGGAAGGGAAGAGCCGACGGGTGGATGAACCCACCCAGGTCTTGGACTGATCTCCCAGTCCCCAGGGGAGCAGTAAACCCGGCTCCAAGACCCTCCAGCCAGTGCGTGGCTCTGCTCTGGGAAAGCCCGGCTGGCCTGGGAGGGTTCAGTGCTCCACAATGGGACAAGCGGGATCCCAACGGGCTCCGTTCAGGACAAGTGCTGCGGGAGCCTTCGCGGCCTCTGACTCCCAAGACTTCTCCAGCACAAGCACCAACTATTGCAGCTTTGTCTCCCCCTGAGACACGCGGGAGCCGAGCGCCACCTCCTCTCTTTGACAAGTGCTCATACAAGGCTCAAATCCAGCTCCCACTGGAGGAACGAGAATTCCAAGACAAGAGCGGGGAGGGCTGAGGGCGGCTGCTGCATCCTCAGTTCTCTTTATCCCAATGTACTTATGGAAGGATTCCCTAAAGTCTAAGGAAGGCGGGAGGCAAGATCGGAACCAGTGACAAATCGAACACCAACCTGCCCATGCTCCAGAACAAACCACGTTAACGTGTACCTGGAGATCCCAGCTTCCTAAAACCTGGAAAGAGGAGCACAGCAGGAAAATGTGACTGACCCCTTGTCGTGACCCCCCCCCAGGGCTCCCCCAGCTACTGTCATTAGATTATCGCTCTTGCCTGTACACACCAGCAGCCACCACGGGGAAACACAGTCTCAAAGGCAGATGAAGGACGTGCCTCTTGCCACGTGGGTTTTCTGCCCCAAATTGCATCACCTTAAAGCTGGACCAAGAACTGAACTGAAACACAAGCAACAGAACAAGACCCTCGTACCCAGCGAACACCAACGCCGACCACTGCGAGCCTCCAGCAAGCAGATAACACAGCAGATACTCAGCGCACAGCGTGTGCTCCACGCTCCTGTCACTACTTAAGGGCAATGTGTAAAGTGAAAAGAACCAAGATAAACCAAACCAAACGCTGTTCAGCCATTTCCCTGCCTCCTATTTAGCTACGAGGTAAAACAACCTTGAAGCAACAGGTCAAGCTGGTTTTGAGGAGACAGCCAGGGTCAGGATGAGTAGGGCAAAGCTGCCACCGCAACGGCACCACCTTCTCTTGCTCTGTTCTCCTTGGTCTCGTTCCCTGTCCTCAGACAGAACCAAAGCAGAAACCCTGGAGCAGCTCCAGAGCCGCGGGATCTACAGAACATCAGCGCTGCCCAGTTCAGGCAACGTCAGAATCACAGGATCATGGAAGAGTTTGAGTTTAGATCCTGTGAGAAGAGACCTGCACGGCTGGGCCAAGGAGAACTCGGGGCATGTAGGGACGGGTGGGGAGGGTCGGCCGCAGGTCTCCAGCCTCGCTACGCAGGTACCAGCGGCGCCTCGTCTCCTGAGACTCAAATCACTTCTCAGCCCTTGCTATGTGGAGTTGCTCCACCACACAGCTGCCTTTTCTTGCTGCACACATCCTCTACGCTATGGAGGTCTTCCCTTGACGCTCTCTACAACGCAGTCAAGCCACTGAAGAAAACAGCCAACGTTATTTTACCCCTTCAGGCCTTTATTTTGATAAAATTGGTCAAGCCCACAGAAGGCGAGATACACCACAGTCAAAACCACCCCCCGCCCCCCGATAGTAAAATAAATAACACAAATGAGTACGTAATGTAGTGTTTTGGTTTGCAGTATA